TCTTTATTCCCTGCTGGAGACACCAGATGGGTCCTGAGCTCAGAGAGCTCTGCCCTCAGTGAGGCCCCTCTCCCTGTAGCTTTCTCCTTCTCCAGCCTGTCCCTAAGCTCCCTTGGCCTGCCGGAGCAGCAGGAGCAGCAACAACAGTATAGAAGACCTCGTGTGCATATGAACAGGGTAGAAGGTCTCTACTTCCCAGCCGAGGTCAACATCTGGAGAGACTCAGATTTCAGAGAGGGATTGAGACTGAGTCACAGACATGTGTAAGGACTGTCAGCAGCTTTTCAATGTTCCCTCTTAATGAGCCCCAATTCCCGGCCTGCTGGAAAGATCCAGCCCTGTGAAAACATCCATTGGACTCCCCAGGAAAATTGATGGAGTGAGTTTGAAATGGGGAGGTGAGATAGGACCCACATAGAGGTCTGACTTCCAAAGCAGTTAACACCCTAAGCTTGTCCCTCCCTAAGAAATGGGCAGCAGGAGTCCTGGCACCCAACGCATTCCCAGCAGTGCCATTTTGTTCATCCTTCTAGGAGATAAAGACACCATTCTGTCCATCTATCTGTCTCCAGGCAAGATAATACTCAGCCCCAAGAGAGAAATGGTGATTGCTTCTCTTCTAAAAAAGCTAGAAATTCAGTTATCTCTCTCCATGTCCTAACAGCTATCAGAAAAACACCTATTTCCTTTCATCAAGAGAAACAAAAGCTAACACCAGGGAAACTAAGGTGTGGAGGAAGCAGATGTATTGGGCCATCTCTGCTACTTGTGTGCTGGGTTATTTGAAGTAGCCGAAACCCTTGGGTGGCGCAGACGGTTAACAGCTCAGCTACTAACCAAATTCACCCAGTTCAAATTCACCCAGAGGCGCTTCAGAAGAAAGGCCTGCTAATCTACTTCCAAAAGGCCACAGCCTTGAAAACCCTACAGAGTGCAGTTCTACTCTGTATAATGGGGCTGCCATGAGTCGGAATCGACTTAACGGTAACCGGTTACTGGTTAATGTATCTTCTCTGTGCCTCAGTTCCCTCATCCAGAAAAAGAGAGAGAGAGAGAAGAAGAACAGATGAGACAGTCAGGGGGCCTAGCTCAGGGTCCACTGAAGGTCAAGAATGAGTTCATTGCGCTCTATCTAAACTGCAGCTGGCTCAAGCCATGCTGGGGCAGAAATGGAAAGAGCAACAGATA